GGCCAGAGCGAACAGTGAGCAGCTGGAGGAACGAGCAAGGTGCCGTCTTGCCCCCCACCTGGGAGGTGTACTCACGTGAAAGCACCTCTGAACTCTGAGTCTCCACTGACCAAGGACAACATCGGTGAGTTGGGTGCGGTGGAGGGAAAAGTGAGGGGCACGTTAAATAAACATTTGTTTGTTGGACTATATTTTAGTGACTTTACTCCAGAATGCTAGATTTGTGACTGGGAATGGAAACTTACATAAATATGTTTCCTAGGAGGCCAAGATTTTTAAAATGCATTATTTGCCAAGGTTGTTATCTCACATCGTTGCTATGTACTAATCATTTTTATTATAATTAATTTTTATATAAGAATGGTCATACAGGGTCAGACCAATGGTCCATATAGCTTAGTATCCTGTCTTCTGACAGTGGTCAAGGCCAGGTGCTTCAGAGGAAATGAACAGAACAGGCAATCATCAAGTAATCCATCCCATGTTGCCCATTCCCAGCTTCTGGCAAACAGGCTAGGGACACTCAGAGCATGGTATTGCATCCATCCCCATCCTGGCTAATAGCCACTGATGGACCTATTCTCCAGGAATTTATCTAGTTCTTTTTTTAATCATGTTATAGTTTTGGTCTTCACAGCATCCCCTGGCAAAGAGTTCCATGGGTTGACTTTATGTTGTGTGAAGAAATACTTCCTTTTGTTTTTTTAAAACCTGCTGCCTATTAATTTCATTGGGTGACTGCTAGTTCTTGTGTTATGTGAAGGATTAAATAACATTTCCTTATTCACTTTCTTCACACCAGTCAAGATTTTATAGACCTCTATTATATCCCCCCTTAGTCGTCTCTTTTCTAAGCTGAAAATTCCCAGTCATTTTAATCTCTCCTCCTGTTTCATACCCATAATCATTTTAGTTGCCCATCTCTGTACCTTTTCCAATTCCAGTATATCTTTTTTGGGATGGGGTGACCAGATCTGCACACAGTATTCAAGGTGTGCACATACCATGGATTTATATAGCGGCAATATATTTTCTGTCTTATTATCTATCCCTTTCTTAATGATTCCGAACATTCTGTTTGCTTTTTTGACTGCCGCTGCACATTGAGTGGCTGTTTTCAGAGAACTATCCACAATGTCTCCAAGATCTCGTCTTGAATGTTAACAGCTAATTCAGACTCAATCATTTTGTCATTACAGTTGAGATTGTTTTCCAATGTGCATTACTTTGCATTTATCAACATTGAATTTCATCTGCCATTTTGTTGCCCAGTCACCCAGTTTTGTGAGATCCCTTTGTAACTCTTTGCAGTCTGCCTGGGATTTAAATATCTTGAATAGTTTTGTATCATCTGCAAATTTTGCCACCTCACTGTTTACCCATTTTTCCAGATCACTTATGAATATGTTGAACAGTAATGGTCCCAGTACTGACCCCTCAGGGATATCACTATTTATCTCTCTCCACTCTGAAAACTGATAATTTATTCCTACCCTTTGTTTCCCATCTTTTAGCCAGTTACTGATCCATGAGAGGACTTCCCTCTTATCCCATAATGGCTTACTTTTCAAACGTCAATTTAAATTAAATACATTTTTTTTAAATTATATATTTTTTAGAAATCTAGACCTGTTATGTGTTTTGATGAAACCTGCATTATCTTAACAAAACATTTACTTTATTCATCTCTCTTTTATATGTTGCAGATGGTGAAAATGACAAGACAAAAAACAATACAAAAAATTTTCCACTCAAAGGCCTCAAAAACTAACCAAGGTGAAGAACACATCAAGAACCAACATGTCATCTGAAGGTTCAAGTGGTATATCTACATCCGACCAGCCCGAAGCACAAATACAGCTACCTACTGAAGAAACAGTGTCTCCAAAACCTAAAGGCAGTTCCCGATGTTTGTTGGTCAAAGTGTTCCCATTTATTGACGTTACAAAAAATGGCTATTGGTGCACCTCTTTAGAAGTACTTAATGAGGCTGTTAAGAATGCTGGAGACACAACACAGTTCATGCAAACAAACATGGCTGTGGCATCCTACTTTCTAGTTAAGCAAGAGATACCACACACTACAAACTGGAGGCCAATGGTAAGTGCATTGTCACTTGTTCGTCCTGAAGTTGAACACTAGTTCTGAACAAGACCAGCTCACTATCTTTCTGCAAGAAACTCAACTGACTGGCTAGAAGCATGCAGTGCAACAGTGAAAGACTCAGAGGGGTAGCCGTGTTAGTCTGAATCTGTAAAAAGTAACAGAGGGTCCTGTGGCACCTTTAAGACTAACAGAAGTATTGGGAGCATAAGCTTTCGTGGGTAAGAACCTCACTTCTTCAGATGCAAGTAATGGAAATCAGATGCAAGTAATGATTTCCATTACTTGCATCTGAAGAAGTGAGGTTCTTACCCACGAAAGCTTATGCTCCCAATACTTCTGTTAGTCTTAAAGGTGCCACAGGACCCTCTGTTACTTTTTAGTGAAAGACTCAACAGTTTAAAAAGTGAAGAACTGTCTCACCACATTCAAAAAATTTGCATATATGGCTGATGAATGCACCGATGCAAATGGGCATCAAGTATTAAGTCATTGTGTACATTATCTTGATGTCAGGGGTAGGCCAGTAGATGCATTTCTAGATGTTCAAGTTATAGAAGACACATCGGCTGCATCTGTGACAATCCACATCTTAGAAGAGTTAAATGCTTGTCAATTGGACCCCAAACAGATGGCTGCTTGTGCATTTGATGGAGCTGCAAACTTCTCTGGAAGACATGGTGAAGTACAAGCTTTGCTCAGAGAAAAGTGTAACCCTAATCCCTCCTATACACACTGCAGAGGCCATCTACTCCAACTAGCACTAGTATGAGCTGCAGAATCTTCAAAAGACATTAAAAAAGCTATAAATTTAATGTCTTCATTATATTCTTTTTTCAGCATGAGTCCAAAAAGACTGAATATCTTGGAAAATATAGAAGATACACTGGGACTGAAGTTCAAATTAGTCCAACCTGGGAAAACCCGCTGGCTTTCTCATGAGCGATCCTTGGCTGTTGTCTTAAAATTACTCCAGCCGTTATTACTGGCTTTGGAAAGTATCTACCAAGATGGGACGGATCTAAGTAGTGAGGCTGGTAGATTACTTTTGCTACTACATTCAGAGAAGACTATTGCCATTCTCTCTCTCTCGTAAGTCTACTGTTGAAACCACCTGGGTCATTAAACAATGCCATCCAGGCATTTGCTACAACAGTAGTAGAACTTTGTCCAGCAATAGAAGCTACATTTGGATCAATCAGAGAACTATCCATTGAAAAAGTACTGGAAGAAGCAAAGACTTCAGTCCAGAAGTTGACTAATGAAGGTATTTATATTGAATCCTTAAGTGAAGAAGACAAGAGGTGTTTGTTAAGACAACTGAAAAAGTACACAAACTTGATTCTTAAAAATCTACAACAGCGACTTCTAGATTCTACTCAACCTCTACGTAGATTTTACAGATGCCTGTCCTATAAAACACCAACAGTTGAGTGGAGTGAGGCACTACCAGCAATGGGGCTGCCATGTGATCAGGACAGAACAGAGAATTTGAACACAGAGTGGAATATCATATGATGAATGAATGAAGATTTGACTTCAACTTCTTTTTTATCATCACTAGTGGCTCGACCCGATCTTTGTGTTCTGTTTCCTGGGATGAAAGAAGTAGGAATTCATCTCTTGCTACTCCCAGTCACAACAGCTACAGTTGAGCGTTCTTTTTCATCATTGAATAGAATTTTGTGTTCTGAAAGAAGTCGCCTTCTGCCTGATCATGTAAATGAACTAATGAGCATATCAATTGAAGGAATGGAAGTACCGGACACACGAGAAGCCACCAAAGATGAATGCATTGCATTCAAGAAGTTCATTAACAGAGTTGTGCAAAATTATAACAAAAAAACAAGAAGGATGTAGATGTAGTGCTTCATAGAAGGCTTAAGTAGCCAACTTTAATTTGTGTGATGATTTTAAAACATGAGTTAAATCTAATAAAATGGTCATGAAACATTTTTCAGTTTTTACTATGGTGCCATACAGCCCACCTTCACCCTCACAGTCTCACCCCTCATTGGTCCTGACACACACACCCCTGTAAATTCGAACACCCCCCCCCCCAATTTCAATTCCAGGGGAAACCACTGCCTCCCCTGCTCCCCTACTCCATCTCACATGGAATACTCTTCACCCCCCAATGACATTCAGTGAGTGGAGACCTGTCCTCATGCAGACTGTCCATGCCATTCTCCTGATCCTTTCATATTGGAAAACAGACGGAGATGTTTAAGAGTAGCTCTGTGTTTAGACCTGTCCTCTGTGTTTTATGCCAGGTGATGCAGCATGGAGGAGCACAGGACTTTACCTTCCACCTGGGAACACAGTGACCTTTGTATTTCCTAGTGCTGTTACTGGAGTTGGCCTGCAGGTGAAGTAATCATCCTTTCTGAAGCCTGTTACTGCACTTGAACTGTAGTTCTACTCGGAAATGTGACTACATAAAAAACGACACCTTATTGTACAGCTCTTCTCCCGGAGGGAATTCAGTTCTGTAGAAAGATAATGTCGTCTTGCTTTGTAGGAGCATTTACCATGCAGAGCAAACACAGGCAGCAGAGATTCTATGTCTTCTTGTGCATCATCAAGAGACTTGTTTACCAAGTTCTAATGAATTGCCCCATAAATGTTAAGTTCTTTGGTTTAGGACCCAAATTATCTTATATATTTATTTAGGCCCAGATCCCCAAAAGCAGTTTGGCCTCTAACGCCCAGTGAAATCAGTAGAAGTCGAGTGCCTAAAAACCTTTCAGGATGTGGGTCATAGTTCCTGGCACAGTGTGCCCCCAAGCTTGGAGCTCTCAAGTAGCTATAATATCAATACATGGTTACTAACAATAATGAGGTAGGACAGCTGAGTGATTGCGGTGCTTGACTACAATCCTGGAACTTGTGGGGCCAACTGTCACTGGATCTCACACTGAAAATCTGCCTTCAGTTCACCCAGCTGCAAAATTGATCCCCGATCCATTGGGTTAGGGAAGTCAAAGAAGGTCAGAGGTGATGCGCAGTGCCACATCACTGCCTTGTGTACCTCAGCTACGGAAACTGATCCACCTTAAATTGCATCAACCTAATGAGCCATCGGTGGCTGGAGGCAGACTTTCAATAACAATAATCCATGAAGACCCATTGCACAAAGATTACAGGCCAGGACTAAGAGTCCTGGGCCCTTAAGCAAAGAACTTGTGAGTTTCCATTGATTTCACTGGAGTTGTGAGTGGTCACCTCTGAAAAGCCAGGCTTTCATTTTCTCTTCTCTAAAATGGAGATAATGCTCCCTCCTTTGCAGGGCTTTTGTGAAATTTAACTCATTGATGCCTATGAAGTGTGATATGAGCTTCAGATGGAAGCTGCTATTGAAGCACAAACTATTAATACACCTCTACCTCGATATAACGCTGTTTTCGGGAGCCAAAAAATCTTACTGCATTATAGGTGAAACCGCGTTATATCGAACTTGCTTTG